TCTCTAATAGGGCATATATGCTCTCTGGTAAATTATAAAAAAGTACAAGCTGGCAAACACAGTAAAGGCTAATTTATTCCATTAGAATTCCAAATCTCATTAAAGAAGGAAAAACTGTGATGCCTACTAAATGTCTTCTGTAACTGTGCATAAATATCCTGGAGTTCAATTGGAATGGAACTAAGAATAACCCTCCCACCTTCCAATGCAGAGTGAGCGCAGTCCATGAAAGCATCTCTGGAACCTGCCACAACAGCAGGCACTTCCCAAACTGTGTCTCACTGTGGAACAGAGCTGAGATGTTTCATCTATTCAGGAAGACCCCAGTAATCTCTTATCCCAAACCTGTTATCCCAGATATCCATGAATTTTTGTTATAAGAAATTTACATAACTTCTCTTCAAAGTACGAGGACAACTACCATCTGCAAGGCAGTGCTTAATGGGACTAACCATTTGGAGACAATGAGGATTTCCTATCACTTTGCAGTTCTCTTGGTCACACATATAAAGCTGACCTTACAGTACCTAGATGGTCACACTAACTTAGGTATTTTGTCACAGCCTCCTTCTGGTCAAAACACTTTGTCCTCTGGCTTGCACCTGTCCAAGGTCACATGCTGGCCAGTGACTGATGCTAGGATCCCAGTACTTGGTGACCAAAGAGTGAAAGGGCTGAGCACCTGGGCTGGGCTTTGCCCAAGCACGAGAAGCCTGTGGGAGTCAGTCACACGACTCTTTAGTTGAGTCTCTGTGCCTGTAAGTGACAGGCAGGATTCTGAAAATCCCTACAGCAGGAACATTCCCACCTGTGGAATCTTTATTTTGGGGGGGATAGGTAAGGGGGAGGAGCTAGAGAGATGTCACACCAGTGAATCAATCAAAGTCAAGAAACACAGAGATGAAGACAATTTTAATGGTGCCCTCTGGACCACTGCTGGGATTTTCCTTCTGTAATTTCAATGAGATTAGACACAGAAAACAAGGCCCCTTATCTAACTCCTCTGTCTGATCTAAAGCAAACTGTGTCAGTGGAGGAAGTGAGAGCCCTTGAGGGATCTTATGTTCACTGTGTGCTCTTCTGATTCACAGACGGGGCAGAGTACAGGCGAGCTCTGCTTAAGGGGAAGCAGTGCTGGGGAGAGAGCTCCTGCACTACTCCCCAAAACCAGAGGCTCAGGAGCAGGGCTCGTGGCCTGCAAAGTTATCTCAGAACAGATCTGGAGCTGGGCTTGCCGAAGGCCTCGGGTGCTAAAGTCAGCATCTGCAGCCACAAGCCTAGACCCAGTCCATCACAGAAGGAGCTGTCAGTGGTACATCTCGCCTCTCTGGGTGCCGACAAAGTCGGGGGTTTCTTGTATGAATGACAGTGACACACGGCCGTCTGAAAGGCAGCAAGCCCAGTTAATGGTGAGACTCTCATCAGATTATTTTGTTCCAATTTGGAATCCAAGTTTAAATGAAGATGTAGGAAAGCTTAGGGAGAGCAGGACATGATTAGAGGGCTAGAAAATGGAAACTCTGAAGGTGGGTTAAAGGCATTACTTAATCCAGGGGGAAGAAGGCTAGGGGGAGATTTAATAACCATCTTCAAGTACAAGAAGGCTGTTATCAGGAAAGGCTGGGCAGCTGTTTTCCATTTGTAGTGACGAAAAGAAATGTACTCAAATTATGGAAGATGATTTGGGCCAGACATAAGGAAGAACTTTCAAGCTTAAGTTCATTATGCCTAATAAGAGGTTTCAGGTTGCTTATGTAGAGAAATCTGTCTTTGAAAAATTGAGGAAGTTTTTTTAGAACTGTTTAAACATGGCAGAGAGCTATCTCCATGATTTATTACCCTCCCTAGATCTGGGTTTCTTCTTACCCTTCCTAAATTCTGGTGTTTCTGAACAACCTTACCAACAGATATAACCAAAGAAAATCTTAAGTAGAAGGGAAAAACCACTTGAGTCAGTGCTGATCATATTCAAGTAAGTTATACAGCATCACTGGTCTCTCATTTCTTTTACAATTTTTTTTTTTATTAAGATTTTTGCCATAGGGTGCATGTGCTTGCTGGAGAGCAAGAGACAGAGAGAGGGAAAGTAAGAAATCACTCCCGAGGGGGAATGGCCACAGCATAATCCCTCCTCCTTCCCTGTCTTGGATTCTAGGCACACACAAATGCATGCCTGGTATGATCTCCAAGTCACCAGGTCCAGGATTTGAACCTCAGTCAGCTATGTAAGAGTCCAGCACCTTAATCACTATGCCACCTGCTGGCCCTGGCCTCTCATTTCTAAGCACAGGCTCTATAAGTCATCTCACGGGTTGCCCCACAACCTAAGTGACAATGACATTTCTCAAGTCTACTGGACTATCACTTCCTCATTAACATGGACCTCATCTTATCTGATAGACACCTCATTAGAAAAACACAGTTTTTCCCCAAATTGAGCTGCCAGTGAAGCCTGTGATGAATGATCCATCACCCCAAATGTGACTTTGAGGACCAAGAACACATAATCTTTGGCTGTCTACACAGCTGACATCCTCTGTGGTGGGCCCAGGAACATCATAAAGGGGAGTGGAATGCTCACCCAAAGCCCAGGACCAAGGCACCAGAAGACAGAAATCACTGCAGTAACAATGGGAATTCGAGGTGACCGAATTTCAAAGTACTTTCTCAATGTTGAGTACTAACTTAAAGGTGTATTAATTAAAGAAGGTATAAGGTAGGTGGCGTGGAGATTAAGGTACCAGATTCCTACATGGCTGACCATGGTTCAAGTCCTGGACTTGGCAGGTTGCTCGGTCTCGCTGTCTCTCTCTTGTCAAATTGAAGAATAATAAAAAATAAATAAAATAAAATAAGTAATTCTAAAATAATATAATCTTTCTTGAGGTTTCAGTAGATGAAAATCAAAGTAAATTAAATGACTTGCCCATGGTTACATCATGGTAGAACAGTTTAGGAAATGCTTTCACATTAAGTACAGAACAGGAAAAAAAAAGTTAGACTCAGAAAACATCTCCTTATTAAATCCATTACTGATGATTCCCATCCTGCTCAGAGTGAGGAGGGGCAGGTACTGAGGTCTGAGGCACGGCAGGGGACAGGCTGCAGCAGGGGAGGGTGCACTGAGGCAGGGAGGGCACTTGCTGTGGAGGAAGAACCTGTCCCCAGCTAGGTGCTGCATTTCAGGGGGGTGGCTGGAGGAGGAGATGGGGGGAGTGAGATAAGTGAGCAGCACTGAGAACTTCCGCTAACGCTATGGTGGTCGTACAGGGGCCAGCGAGTTGGTATTCAGCCAACAATGAACCATTCCAGCAACACCACCTAAAGGGCATATCCCTGCCTTGGATGCTGAGCGGGGGAAGGACACCAGTTCCTAGACATTGTTGTTGAGCAGTATCTTTCAAAAGCCAAAGCACTTCTGCCCCCAAAACAATTATGACACCTCTTAAAAGGGAAGATTCTATTGCTCTGTCCTTTTATATCGACAGATTTTACTTATATTCAAAGGGCCAGTCTGTGGTGTGGTGGTTAAGGCAGCTGGATTCCACATGGCCAACTGCACAGGTTGAGGCCCAGACCCAGGGGTTCAAAAACACACCGGAGGGGCTAACAGGTGGTGTAGCGGTTAAGGTGCTGGACTCTCCCATAGTCAATTGTGGTTTGAGTCTCAGATCCAGTGGCTTGAAAATCATGCCAGGCAAATGTGCGTACTCAAAATCCTGAGAGGTGAATAGAGGAGAAGGGATTATGGTGTGGCCATCCCCTGGCCCCGGGGGTGGGGGAAGGGGATTGATTTCTCACTTTCCTTGTCTGTGTGTCTCTCTCTCCAGCATGCGCAAGTGCCCTATAGCAACAATCTTAAAACGAATAGAAAAACGAGATACACACTGGGCATGTATGTGTGTATGCCCAAAATCTCGAAAGGAGGGAGAGATGGAGAAGGACTGCGGCACGACCATGCTCCGTGGAGGATGTTTACCCAGTTTCCTTCTCGCTCTGCCTTCCTCCAGCAGCACATGCACCCTCCAGCAATGTTACACATATTTAAAGATCAATTAGGAGACAGCGTGCAAAGAGCTGAGTATTACTTGTTAATCCTACTTCTATGCTCAGAGATAATCACTGTTAATACCGATTTGAGAACATTTGTTAGCTCAACTTGTATATTGTCATTAAACTATTTTTTCAACAACACATCCAGATGAGTTCATTTTATACACACACATACACGCATGCACGCATGCACACAAGCTAAAG